GACTAAAGTAATCCAAGATCACACCACTGCACTCTATCTCAAAAAACAAAAAACAAAAAAGATATTTTTCTACCTTAAAAGATTTAAGAATGGACACAGACACAGTCAAATAAAAAGGAAGGTAAATAATTGGCAAAACATCTGACTTGAGAAGAAAGCTGAAAGTGTGAACCATGCCTGGCTTGGAGGAGTGGTTTATAATCTTGACTTAAGTATCATTCTGGAACTACTTAGGTAGTATTTTGGTGGCTGCCTATACCCAGCTCATAATGCAGGCTCTCTTTTTCTAAATAATCAGATCACCTATAGCTGGAACCATTCATTTATGTATTAAACAAATAACTACTGAGTGCTTTCCATGCTTCAGGTAATATTGTTCTATGCTGTTCAGGAGCACAGTGGTGAAAAAGACACAGCCTCTGACTTCACAGGAGAGTGAAAGGAACAAAAACAAAACAACCTAATAACTTTATAATACAGAAACTTATGTATAACAACAAGGGGAGACTGGAATTAAGAGAGCTCCACAAAATGCACTTAATCATAAAAAACTTGTTTCACTCTTGGTCTCATGTCCTAATCTCCCCCAATGTGACTGTAAGTTCCTTGAAGGCAGAAATCACCTTTAACATGTCTGCATACTCCCTAGTACCCAGCTCAGTGACATATCTACAGTAACCTATCACTAAACTTTGTTAATAGCTTGACCGATCAATTTCACTGACATGAAATGAGGCTATGGAGGTAAAAGTGTGTTTGCATTATTTTTTGCTTTCCAAGGAGGTTCTTGGTTGTTCATCTTTGCATTAACCCATCACCACCAATAAATAAGAATGTCTGATGTACCAATTAATGCTTTCTAAACTTATGGGTAGGAGGAACAATTTTGAGCTTCTATTCCTTGACATGCAAGAGGTCTGTGGTAACAATTCTTCTCCGCTAGCTAGTGGTGCAATGGACTAAGAAGGGAGTTTGGCTCTGCCACTTAATAGCTGTTACTTAATCTCTTGGGAACTTTGATTCCTCAAGTAAAATCAGTGTTCCCTTCCACCTTACTCAGTAGGCACATTTTTTTGTTTTGTAACTAATTTGGGTGCAAGGGGAGATCTAACACCCTATTTATAAACGGATGGGATGTGGCATAGCATCTTCCTTCACTTCTGTTGTTCCACAGTAAATTCTCAATCTTTATAGGGTTTTATCCCAGTGAATTATTTCCCTCAAAAACCAAGGAGGGTAATAATGAACGATTTTCTTACATTTTCCGTCAAGACAGCTCTTTGTGAGTTCTAAATGTTCTATCTAGATTCAAAGAAGCTGGTTTCTTCATGAGTGGTTGGAATAAGACTTTTCTTGGAAGCTACTGAATATGGATTAGTTGGATTGTTTCATAGGAAATAAAAAGCAGGCTCTAGGGTAACTACTTCAGCACTTAATTGGGTTAGCAAAGAACTGCAAATGAGAGGTTTTCCCGTAGGAGGGAAAGGATGCTTATGGCTCCCACCCCCTTAGGTGATGCATTTTAACCTAAACATTAGTCTTCCAATGCAGCCTTTAATTCAGTAATCATTACAAGAATCTATTAGAGCAGAAAATGTCAGGTTGAAAAATTAACACATCACCAGAGTTAATAAGAACTCAGACTCTTATTAGATACAAATGGAGAGCCCTCTAACTGCACAACAGCCTGTTGAAGTCATGTTTGTTGCAGCTCCTAAGTAGTTGCATCTTTACTGCTCAGAGGCTGGACCAAGGAAACTGCCCAGGCACTCAAGCCAGAGTTAGCAGGGACCCTTGGCCTACACTTTATTCAGGTATCCCTATCTTTTCCTCTCAGAAATGCTGTGCATGTCACAGGGTGGATATCCCTCTGCCTAGGACTCCCTTGGTAAGTGTTTTCTGTAACAAAGACAAACATGCCATGCCTGTCACCAGGGGCAGATTGTGGACTGTGTAAACCACTCCAGGAGAGGGAGGCTGAGGGGCTCCCGGCCATTCAAACTTAGCTCTGAGTTATGGTCTTTGTTGTCTTTCTACATTCAGACTGAAATGTGATTCCCCTAGCTTTCTTTTTTGGAAAATACCTGTAATGAGTTCCATGACTAGAAAGAAAAGCCGTTGACAGGAAAGGCTTCTGATAGAGAAGGGACTTCTTCATGTGTTCTCAAGGGAGACCGTTGCTTCAAGCAAGCTGAGGCAGGATGCCAGGTCTAGGAATAAGAGGTCCAGATCACAAAAGGGTTATCTTTAACTGTGGATTAGGCTGGGCATGAAGCAGTTTCCTCTGGAAGAGCAGTACCATGCACACAGAGTTTATGGCCAGGCAGGCATGCATGAGTTCTTCTCCATGACTTACTGTGCAATCTTGGGCAAATTGCTTGGCCTCTCAGAGCATCAGTTTGAGCTCTGAGAATATATAAAATAAATAAAATAAAGAATATAAGGCGTGTATCACAGTGTCTGAAAGTAAGAGTAAGGGTTCTATGTGAGTGGTTAGCTATTGATTTGAAAATAGTATTCCTTCACCCAGCACTAATGATGTTCCTTGTGTGCCAGGCTCTGTATAAGGGACAGGTCCTCCTCCTTGACCTAAGGGAGTTAACTATTTAATAAACCATGTAAGTTTATCTTCAGCACAAAGCACTCCCAGCTCCCTCCCACCCCAGCATCAACACTCTGCCCAAGAAGGGCCAAACTTTGTTGAGTAGCTCCGAATCTTGCAGGTCATCCCCCTTTGAGGAGCCCTCCAGACTCAGCCGATTCTACCTTCAATTCATCCATAATTCCCTATCTGTGCACTTCACACACTACGTTACTGTTGTCTGTTAATCCTTTGTCTCCTTCTGTGAGGTCCTAAAGGATAAGGATTATGTGTTCATTTGATCTATTCATCTGATTATGTATTCATCTCTGTAACACAAATGATTAATTGATCATTTGATCTGTTCATCTGCTCTTTTATTCATCTCTGTAGGCCAAGGGTTTCATGCATTACTCAGCACAGGCACACAGAGGTTCAATCCTATTGCTGAGTACGTTGATTTCCAGCTGGGATTTTTTTCTGGGAAAATAGCCCTGCCTTCCATCTTTGAAGAGCCTCTTCTGGGCCCTGGTTTGGTTGGTCTTGTCATTTTCTGTTACTTTGGTTCTAGCCTCAGTTTCCTAATCTCTATAAGGGGCTAACAGAACCTCCTTCACTGGGAGTTTATGATGATGACTGGAGACAATGCAGCTTCTCTGTGTCCAACACAGTTCTAGGCACAGAGCCAAATACCAGGAAAAAAAAAAAGTTGATTCCATTTTTGCTCTCGGCCAAGTCTAGTTGCCAATATAAGAAGACTAAAAATACAAGACATCATATGAGTGTCACATGAGTGGCACAGACATTTTTCCAGCTTGCATCTAGCCTCTGCCATATGCCACAGAATTGGCTGAAATGGGAGGATAAAAACATGCATAAAACAGTTTCAAGAAAACAGTGGCAAGTGTTAGACAAAAAGATCTCAGGAAGAGGGGTAAAGTCTTTTACCCAGATGTTTGGTCCATGGCTGTTGGAGCTGTCTTTAGCACCAGGCTGGAAAGTAGGACGCTGTCCCATAATTGATCTCCTCTAGGTGTTTTGAAAACACACACACACACACACACACCCCACCACCACCACCACCACCACCAAGTTCTTCAGCATTTACTGTGTGTCAGACACTGTGCTAAATGCTTTACAGGCATTATCTCACTGAACTCTTAGAACAACAGTGTGAGGTGAATATGAACTTCCCCACTTTACAGCCAGCAACTTTGAGGCTCAGCGAGGCATCACAGCTTAACCAGACACAGGCAACAAGTAAATGGTTGAGGAATCCACCTGCTGGGAGTTTCACTGGCCTACTGGAAAGGAGAGAGACGGCGGACCAGCACAAATCCCCGGGCTGCTGGGAATGAAACAGGAAAGCTGGGTTCAAACTTGGGTCGCATGATCCCCAGATCCTAGGAACCGACGCAGAAGCACAGTAAGGAAAAAAGGGGTGCAGGCTGGTGCGGACGGGGTGCCCGGGAGAAAGGAGTCCCCGTGGATGTGTGCCTTGCTCGTCCCCAGTGCACAGGTCAAGCCTCTCCCCTCCCGCCCTCTCACCCTCCCAACCTTATTTAGAAACCGTGTCCCCAAGACAGGAAGGGCGGCGGGCCGAGAAGCACGGAGAGTCCCAGTCTCATTTCCTTTCGAATCCCCCTGTGGAATTTCATTTCATGCGGTGAGGAAATCGGAACGCGAGACCGTCGGCGGGTCTGCAGCTCCGCAGCTCCGGGGCGCCTCCCCCTGGCGGCTGGAGGTGGGCGGTTCCCGGCGCAGGTCGGCCGAGTCTGGGGGCGGGGAGAGGCCGGGCCCGGACCGCAGCGAGTCGGGAGTGAAAATAGCTGTGGACCCGCGCAGTACCAGGCACCGCGCTAAGCCTTTACGCTTTATCTCTAATCCTCCCAAGTGACTTCACAGAGGAGGAGACTGACGCCGAGAGGTTGAGCAACTTGCTCAAGGTCACACAGCGGGACTGAAAGCCACAATCGGTGTATATCCAAATCCCGTGTTCTTTGTGTTCCTTGCCCTGCCTGATGGGGATGTGGCCGCGGACCTAGGTGACAGCTGGAAGGAGACGGGAAAGAAAGGGGGCAGATGGAACAGGGCGCACTTCTCACCTGGAGGAGGAGAGGGCAGAACGGCTGGAGCCACTGGGCTCGGTGCCCCGGCTGGCTCCTGCGCGCCTCGATCCGGGTGGGAGGGAAGCGAGAGCCGGGAAGCGGGCGGGCGGGGCGCTCGGGGAGGGAGGGGGGAAGGAGGGGCGGCCGGAGGAGGGGCCGGAGGGCGGGGGCCTGACCCTTCCAGCGGGAGAGCGGCCTCGCCCCGCTGCCCCGCCCCCCGCTGCCCACCGCGCCCGGCCATTGGAGAGGCGCGCTGTCTGTCCCGCCCCGCCGCCGCGCCGCGAGCCTCCAGCGCCGAGCTGGGCTCGGGCGGTGAGAGCTGCGCAGCGCTCGCTGCTGGCTGGCTTCGCTGAGACGCCGAGCGGACGCGGCCGGCGCCGGCTTGTGGGCTCGCCGCCTGCAGCTATGACCCCCGCAGCCCTTCCCTCGGTCTCGGCCCGGGGCGTCTGATATCCCACACAGTCGCGCGCAGCTGCCGGAGAGCCGACCGCTGCCCCCTCGTCGCCGTATCGCACTCCCTTCCCGGGAGCTGGGAACAGCGCGGGCAGCCGGCGCCCCCGTGCAAACTGGGGGTGTCTGCCGGAGCAGCCCCCGTCGCCGCCACTGCTGCCCCAGACGCTGGCCATGGCCTGGCGGGGAGCAGGGCCGAGCGTCCCGGGGGCCCCCGGGGGCGTCGGGCTCAGTCTGGGGTGGCTGCTGCAGTTGCTGCTGCTGGTGGGGCCGGCGCGGGGCTTCGGAGACGAGGAGGAACGGCGCTGCGACCCCATCCGCATCTCCATGTGCCAGAACCTCGGCTACAACGTGACCAAGATGCCCAACCTGGTGGGGCACGAGCTGCAGACGGACGCCGAGCTGCAGCTGACAACTTTCACACCGCTCATCCAGTACGGCTGCTCCAGCCAGCTGCAGGTGGGCGCCCCCACCCCCACCCCTGGCGGGACCCCTTGGGGAGGGACGCTCCAAACTAACTTTGCAGAGCCCATGCCAAGTTGATCATCCTAGCCCGAAGGGGACAGCTCTCCTGGAAAAGTGATTTCCATCCCCACCCCCACTTTCTCAGGGACTGGAAGCCAAAACGTTGTGTAAGTCATCTGGCCTGGGAAAGAACCCACTCTTACGCCCCGCCCTTCCGTTTTTCTCTCTTGCCCACCCATGTCTGGCCAGACCCCTAGCCCAGTGAAGCTGAGGGTTATCTTTGCCAAGGATTCTGCCCACCACTGCTTGGTGGGCCAGTGGGAGAGAGCCAGCTGCAGCTAAGACTTGGAGGGAGAGATAAAGAGACCATCCCTCACCAATCTTCCCTCTCCCCACTATTTTTGGGGTGAGGTATTAAAACACTACTGCACCGTTTTCTGCTGAGTTGCCCCTCCTCACCGTGTCCCTCAGAGTTTTAGAGGTCATGCATGAAGGAGTGGTTGGATTGGTTTGAGTTCTTTCTTATCCTCAGAGTTGAAGTCACATTTAATGCTTGGAGGGTGAGAAGAAGCTGCAGGAAGGTAGTTGGTATATTAGAAGAATTTTTTTTGCAGTCGTTAAAAAGTGTAAAGCTTATTTAATGATAAGGAAAATATTTATTCAACAGTAATAAGAATTTGCATATACAGGGTGACTATAATCCTAAAAAAAGAAAAAAAGAAGAAAGAAAAACAATTTATTGGGGGAATAAAAGACTGAAAGAAACATTTTTAAAGTGTTAACATGGGTTATGTTTTGATTGGTGAGGCTGGGTGATTTTTAGAAATTTAGAAAATACAGAAGTTGTGGGAAAAAGTAGACCTTAATTGTCCAGACTAAATCTGTGGTCTGGCCCAGTGCGGTGGCTCACGCCTGTTATCCCAGCACTTTAGGAGGCCAAGGCAGGTGGATCATGAGGTCAGGAGTTCGAGATCAGCCTGACCAACATGATGAAACCCTGTCTCTACTAAAAACACAAAAATTAGCCAGGCATGGTGGTGCATGCCTGTAATCCCAGCTACTCTGGAGGCTGAGGCAGGAGAATTGCTTGAACCTGGGAGGTTGCAGTGAGCTGAGATAGCACCACTGCAATCCAGCCAGGGCAACAGCACGAGACTCTGTCTAAAAAAAACAAAAGGGAAAAGAAATCTGTGGTTCTGGCTGTAACTTTTGGGAGATAAGAAACAGACATACAGCTTACTTATTAGGTGCATGTTTTTACATAGGTCATTTTAAAACTTGGTTTGTGGTTTTGGAAAGATGGTCGGGATTAGACCTGTTGCTGGTGAAATATCCCTTTGGAAGTTTCAGAACTTCAGAACTAGGTTATAAAAGCTTAAGAAATGATCCTCCAGCTCGCAGTTTGGGAAAAGCACATATCCTGACATCAGTGGCAATTTGTTGGAGAAACAGCTTTTGCAGGGATATATATTTTTAATTACATGTATCCTGGGGAGACAGCCAGGCTGTTTTGAAGGACAAGACTGGATCCCTTTACATGCTGGAAAATAGTTACTTGTAACTCTAGACTTCATAGACAACATCTGTAAGGAGCCAAGCAGACTGTTTATCAATGCTGGAGGAATTGAGGACAGCAACTGGACTCTCCCCTGCTGGTATTGCCGTTTCAGCGACTTAACATTTACATTTTCCTATTGTGCTTCATTATTATTCATTGAGGAAACCTGGCCAAACAAATCCCTAGTGACCATAGACCTCAATCTGCATCCCATCCTTAAGTCTAACAGTGTCTCAGTTGGGCCATTTTCTGTTTCTCTATGGGACTAGTTTAAACAAATTTTTAAGGGATAAAGTAGGGAGAAGAGAATATTAACAAGATCTATATATTTTTTTACCTTTTATTCTTAAAATGATTAAGAAATGGTGATAAAAATAAGCCCCCTAAATGACTGAGTCATATTAGTTTCTTTAGCTTTTTCAAATAGTATCTAAAAGGGAAGGAGATGGGAAAGCCAGTTTTTTAAGGTTTATTTCAAGGGCTGTGCAAAGAGGGCTTAGGCAGTTCTTCAGACCCTATTTATTTAATTTTTTAATGTACATTCCTCTGGAAAGGATTACTAGAGCCAAACTAGGCAAAGTGTGTAAGTGATGGATTATCAGGCACCCTTGTTTAAGGTCTGAGTAAACAGACAGACTCCCTATAGGTTTGGTTTAAAAGTAGATAGGTACATTGCCGGGAAGCATTCAGCTCAGCTTTGTGGGAACATTTGGTCACACTTCCAAGTCATTGTTTTTTCTTCATTTGTTACTCTTCCAGTTCTTCCTTTGTTCTGTTTATGTGCCAATGTGCACAGAGAAGATCAACATCCCCATTGGCCCATGTGGTGGCATGTGTCTTTCAGTCAAGAGGCGCTGTGAACCCGTCCTTAAGGAATTTGGATTTGCCTGGCCAGAGAGTCTGAACTGCAGCAAATTCCCACCACAGAATGACCACAACCACATGTGCATGGAAGGGCCAGGTGATGAAGAGGTGCCCTTACCTCATAAAACCCCCATCCAGCCTGGGGAAGAGTGTCACTCTGTGGGAACCAATTCTGATCAGTACATCTGGGTGAAAAGAAGCCTGAACTGTGTTCTCAAGTGTGGCTATGATGCTGGCTTATACAGCCGCCCAGCCAAGGAGTTCACCGATATCTGGATGGCTGTGTGGGCCAGCCTGTGCTTCATCTCCACTGCCTTCACAGTACTGACCTTCCTGATCGATTCTTCTAGGTTTTCCTACCCTGAGCGCCCCATCATATTTCTCAGTATGTGCTATAATATTTATAGCATTGCTTATATTGTCAGGCTGACTGTAGGCCGGGAAAGGATATCCTGTGATTTTGAAGAGGCAGCAGAACCCGTTCTCATCCAAGAAGGACTTAAGAACACAGGATGTGCAATAATTTTCTTGCTGATGTACTTTTTTGGAATGGCCAGCTCCATTTGGTGGGTTATTCTGACACTCACTTGGTTTTTGGCAGCAGGACTCAAATGGGGTCATGAAGCCATCGAAATGCACAGCTCTTATTTCCACATTGCAGCCTGGGCCATCCCCGCAGTGAAAACCATTGTTATCTTGATTATGAGACTGGTGGATGCAGATGAACTGACTGGCCTGTGCTATGTTGGAAACCAAAATCTCGATGCCCTCACCGGGTTCGTGGTGGCTCCCCTCTTTACTTATTTGGTGATTGGAACTTTGTTCATTGCTGCAGGTTTGGTGGCTTTGTTCAAAATTCGGTCAAATCTCCAAAAGGATGGGACAAAGACAGACAAATTAGAAAGACTGATGGTCAAGATTGGGGTCTTCTCAGTCCTGTACACAGTTCCTGCAACATGTGTGATTGCCTGTTATTTTTATGAAATCTCCAATTGGGCACTCTTTCGGTATTCTGCAGATGATTCCAACATGGCTGTTGAAATGTTAAAAATTTTTATGTCTTTGCTGGTGGGCATCACTTCAGGCATGTGGATTTGGTCTGCCAAAACTCTTCACACGTGGCAGAAGTGTTCCAACAGATTGGTGAATTCTGGAAAGGTAAAGAGAGAGAAGAGAGGAAATGGTTGGGTGAAGCCTGGGAAAGGCAGTGAGACTGTGGTATAAGACTAGCCAGCCTCCAAGGTTTCTTCATTTTGAAGGAGGGGGGAATGCCAGCATTTTGGTGGAAATTCTGCTAAAAGTTGTATGCAGTGAATCTCATACAAACTAGCAACAATTAAGTGACTCCCATCAACCCACTGCCTCCCATCCTGACCCCAGCATCAAAACAAAACAAAACAAAACAGTGATTTTGCTGCAGACTTTGGAATGATCCAAAATGGAAAAGCCAGTTAGAGGCTTTCAAAGCTGTGAAAAATCAAAACGTTGATCACTTTAGCAGGTCGCAGCTTGGAGCGTGGAGGTCCTGCCTAGATTCCAGGAAGTCCAGGGCGATACTGTTTTCCCCTGCAGGGTGGGATTTGAGCTGTGAGTTGGTAACTTGCAGGGAGAAAGATTAACTTTTTTAACCCTTTACAATTTTAAATACTAACTGGGTCTTTGAGATAGCAAAGCAATCTATAAACACTGGAAACACTGGGTTCAGAGAAGTGTTACAAGAGTTTTATAATTTGGCTGATCTAACATAAACATCTTCTGTGGTGCACTGTCTGCTGTTTAGAACTTTGTAGATCGCACTCCCAAGAGGTGGTGTTAGAATCTTTCAGTGCCTTTGTCATAAAACGGAATTGTTTGAACAAACAAAAGTACTGTACTCACATAAGGTATCCAGTAGATTTTTCTTCTCTCTTTCCTCTCTTAAATTTCAACATCTCTGTTTTGGGCTGCTGCCGTTTTCTTCATTTTACATTAATGACTCAAAAAAAGGTATTTTTATAGGAATTTTTGCACGGCAGCATGCTTAAAGAGGGGAAAAGGAAGGGTGATTCACTTTCTGACAATCACTTAATTCAGAGGAAAATGAGATTTACTAAGTTGACTTACCTGACCGACCCCAGAGACCTATTGCATTGAGCAGTGGGGACTTAATATATTTTACTTGTGTGATTGCATCTATGCAGACGCCAGTCTGGAAGAGCTGAAATGTTAAGTTTCTTGGCAACTTTGCATTCACACAGATTAGCTGTGTAATTTGTGTGTGTCAATTACAATTAAAAGCACATTCTTGGACCATGACATAGTATACTCAACTGACTTTAAAACTATGGTCAGCTTCAACTTGCATTCTCAGAGTGATAGTGCCTTTTTTTTTTTTTTTTTTTTTTAAGCATAAGAATGTTATCAGAGTCTGGTCTACTTACGACAATAGAGACTTTTTCAGTTTTATAAAGGGAACTGAGGACAGCTAATCCAAGTACTTGGTGCATAATTGTTTCCTAGTAATTGGCAAAGGCTCCTTGTAAGATTTCATTGGAGGCAGTGTGGCCTGGAGTATTTATATGGTGCTTAATGAATCTCCAGAATGCCAGCCAGAAGCTTGATTGGTTAGTAGGGAATAAAGTGTAGACCATATGAAATGAAATGCAAACTCTAATAGCACAGGTCTTAATTGCCTTTTACAGAGGTATCCAAAGCTTTTAAAATTTATCCTATACATTCTTCACAAGGGGGTACCCCCTAGCAGCCTCTCGAAAATTGCACTTCTCTTAAAACTGTAACTGGCCTTTCTCTTACCTTGCCTTAGGCCTTCTAATCATGAGATCTTAGGGACAAATTGTTGACTGTGTCACAGGTTTCTCTCCTTGTAACTCATACCTGTCTGCTTCAGCAACTGCTTTGCAATGACTCATTTATTTATTAATTGATGCCTTTAAATAGGAAGGGAAGCTCTTTTTTTTTTTTTTTTTTTCCTCCTCAAATCACACTTTGTGGAAAAACATTTCCAGGGACTCAAAATTCAAAATAGGTGGTCAAATTCTGGAAATAAGCATTCTTCTTTTGTCAAATTTGGTTTGAGCCTTATGCCCATAGTTTGATATTTACCTTTCTTCTTTCCTTAATGTTTTTGTGTGGTTTTTGAACTATATGACATCAAGATGCATGTTAGGTCCATTGTGTATTTTGGAAGGCAAGGTCTTGGCTTTTGAGATGGAAGCTAAGTGGGCACAGGTGGCCCCTGCTGCTGTGTGCCCAGTGTGAGTACCTTGGCTAGACTCTGCGTCAGGCTCCAGGAGCATGAGAATTGATCCCCAGAAGAACCATTTTAACTGCATCTGATACTACATTGCCTATGAAATGTAAAATGTGAATTCCCTGTGCTGCTTGTAGACAGTTCCCATAACTGTCCAGGGCCCTAGAGCACGCACCCAGGGCCAGAGCCTGCCCTTACTCACGCTCTGCTCTGGTGTCTTGGGAGTTGTGCAGGGACTCTAGCCCAGGCAGGGGAAAGTAGACCAGGCGGTAGGGGACTGGTCTTGCCATTAGAGCATAGGGGTTTGTAATGCAGTTTTCTTCATAACACTTCAGTGATCGTGTGACCAAGGCAGCATCTGGCAGAAGGCCAGGCATGGAATAGGTGATCAATTCTTGTCAATGACTAAATAACAATAAAAGAGCACTTGGGTGAACCTGGGCCCCTAATTTCTGAGTTTTGAGTTCTGGAGCTAGTGTTTTGACAGTGTTTTGGGTTTTGACATGCCTGTTCCATAAATCTCTTGCATTTTCAGAGCAAAGTATATTTGATCAGAAGTGGCCAGTTGGATTAGTAGCCTTAGCAATGTTACAGGGTTATAGACCTCTCCTTTCACATTCCAGACATTGGAGAGTGTTCATGGTTTCAGGAAAAGAACTCTGTGGCTGAGGAGTCAGTTACCAGTGACCTTCAATCAACTCTATCACTGCTTAAGTCAGTATTTGTTTTTAAAAAAAACTCGGTTATTATATTTATTGGGTGCCAACTGTATATAAAACCCTGAAATAGATAATCTCCGTTCTAACTGATCTAGGGTGGGGATGCACCCAAGTCTGCCGAACTTTACTGTTCCTTTGGGAAAGGAGTGGGGACCTCTGGAATTCCCATCTGTTTCACTGCCTCCATTCCTTAAATCTCTTCCTGGGTCTCTCTACCTTTTTCCTGGGTCTCTTTTCGCTTTCCCAGGATTCCTTCCAAGTCACTTACAGGTGGTTTTAACAGAAAGCGTCAGCTCTGCTTCATGACAATCTCTGTAGAAATCCCTTAGGAAGACTATTAAGAATAGGCCACAAAGACATGGGCGCACACATCTGCTTTGGCTCCGGGAGCCGGCAATTCAGGGCTTGGGGTACTCCATGTGACTTGTGTTGGTATATTTGAGGACAGCATCTTGCTAGAGAAAAGGTGAGGGTTGTTTTTCTTTTTCTGAAACCTACAGTAAATGGGTGTGATTGTAGCTTTTTCAGAAATCCCTTGGGCTCCAGAGATTATACATGGTGCAATGGCACCTCTGTCCAACCTACTTTGTGGAAGACTCCTTTCTCCTGCTTCATAAAGGCCAAACCTCAGGGCAAAGGAATATGGGGTAGAATGGAGCTGGCCAGAACCATCTGGTCGAACTACTTGGTTGATTCACATCCTCTTTCCTTTATGGAGACCCATTTCCTGATCTCCGAGACTGTGTTTGAGCTGGCAACTTACTTGGGCCTGAAACTGGAAAAGGGGTGACACTTTTTAAATTTCAGAGATGCTCTCTGACTTTCCTCTCTCGGGTCACTCTCTCACCTGCACTCCCCAAACTCAGGTTCTGGGAAACTTGTGTGTCTAGATTCTGAACTGGGATTCTGTCCAGCACCTTTAGCTTTAGTATAGAGAGGCTCTATACTCTCTGGCTCCTCATCCTCATGGTCACCGAATTAAATGCTTACTGGGTTGAGAACCAAGCTGGGACCTGAGGATAAAAAGATGAGCTCAACAGCCTCAGCCCTAGAGGGACAGACTCAGGTATTTCACCAGACCGGCACAATGTTTGATTTCTGGTGAGATGGCCACAGCTACAGTTAGGGAAGAGAGCCACAGACGTTGGAAGGAACCCGTTTTTGTTGTTGTTGTTGTTGTTGTTTGTTTCTTTTTGAGGCAGAGTCTTGCTCTGTTGCCAGGCTGGAGCATCTACTGGCACAATCTCGGCTCACTGCAACCCCCGCCTCCCGGTTTAAGCTATTCTCCTGCCTCAGCCTCCCAAGAGCTGAGACTACAGGCTTGCATCACACCTGGCTAATTTTTGTATTTTTAGTAGAGACGGGGTTTCATCATGTCGGCCAGGCTGGTCTCAAACTCCTGACCTCATGATCTGCCCGCCTTAGCATCCCAAAGTGCTGGGATTACAGGCGTGAGCCACCACACCTGTCCTGGAAGGAACCTCTTAAATTCAGTTTATATCTTGTATTTTGTTCTGTGATAGAGGGCACTGGAGAGAGTTGCTATTCCAGTCAGTCATATCAAGTCACTGGACTCTGAAAATTCCATTGGTTCCTTTATTTTATTTGAGTTCAGAGTTCCGATCTGGGTTTGTATTATGTCTGGCAGATGACCTGGGTTATCACTTTCCTCTGGGGTTAGGTCATAGATCTTGGAAACTCCTTCGAGAGCATTTTGCTCCTACCAAGGATCAGATACCAGAGGCTTACATAATGGATTTCATTTCAGTCTAGCCTACATAGAGCTTTCTTTTGCTGTCTCTTGGCATGCACGTGTGCAGTGATGACACACTTGACAGTGCTAGGAGACAAGTGACTTAGAGATACCCCAACATGCCGCTTCCCCTTGGCAAGCTCAGTTGCCCTGATAGTAACCTGTTTCTGTTTCTGATGTACCTTTTTTCTCTTCTTCTTTGCATCAGCAAATTCCCAGAATTTACCCAGGCAATTTGTAGAGGACCTTTTTGGGGTCCTATATGAGCCATGTCCTCAAAGCTTTTATACCTCCTTGCTCGTCTATAGTATTCAGTACATGACCACTGTCATCCCAGAAGGCTTCTGAAAAGAGGGGCAAGAGCCATTCTGCCCCACAAAGGTCGGGTCCATCTTCTCTCCCAGGTTGTAAAAGTTTTCAAATCATATTAATAGGCTGGGGCCCTGACTTGGCTGTGGGCTTTGGGAGGGGTAAGCTGCTTTCTAGATCTCTCCCAGTGAGGCATGGAGGTGTTTCTGAATTTAGTCTACCTCACAGGGATGTTGTGAGGCTTGAAAAGGCAAAAAAAATGAAGGCCCCTTGAGTTCTTTGTAAGAAAGATAGATGAAATATCAGGTATAATCTGCAAAAAGATAAAATGTGACTCCCCCTGCTCTGTGCAGCAGTCGGGCTGGATGCTCTGTGGCCTTTCTTGGATCCTCATGCCACCCCACAGCTCCAGGAACCTTGAAGCCAACCTGGGGGACTTTCAGATGTTTAACAAAGAGGTACCAGGCAAACTTCCTGCTACACATGCCCTGAATGAATTGCTAAATTTCAAAGGAAATGGACCCTGCTTTTAAGGATGTACAAAAGTATGTCTGCATTGATGTCTGTACTGTATATTTCTAATTTATCACTGTACAAAGAAAACCCCTTGCTATTTAATTTTTGTATTAAAGGAAAATAAAGTTTCATTTGTTAGCTTGTGTGTGACTTCTGGCATATTTCTCAAAGTGTACAGCAGCCCCTGGGAAGCCTATACACCCAGCAGTGAGAAATGGAGGATTCAGTTTGCAGGGCAGATTGGGAACTGCTTTCTGAGAGCCTCTTTGTTTCTTTTTTGCTGGTGCTATTTTTCCCCTGTGGGATTTCTCCTGGGTCAGCAAACCCCCACAGTCCAAGGTCAACAGAATAGATCACTAATGTGGTCATCGGTAACACTCAAGTAGGTCACATGATGCTTTGGATATAACGATAGTTCTCAAGTTGTTATCCCAATGACACCTCTTTTTGGCATTTTCAATACATGTGGCCATCTTTGCCTTCCAAGTTCCATTGACTTAATCTGGTGGCCTAAAAAATGTTATCCCATCATTGTTAGAACTTTTGGGCTCTTAAAAAAGGGAAAGGAAAAGGGGCTTTTTAAAAAAAAAATTAGATTATCTTTTTATTTTTTCTGGCTACACAGTCGTTTTGTTTGTGTAATAGACATGGGCATATGAAACATTTGTCAGGAAAGTGGCTTCTTTAGCTAATTTTATAAATTGAGTGATCTATGTCCCCATAACCAGAGAAGTCATCAGACAAAGCAAATTCAAAGGTATTATCAGAATATTGTTATGGGAGCCAGTAACATTATGGACCACACAGACAGAGGGAAGGAGAGCCATGACTGTCTGTTG